TCTTTGGATTGACCGCCTTTTCCATAAATTTTATCAACATCCATCTATTTTTGCAATAATAATGCTTAATTTTCGAAAACTTATTTTTCCGCGTTCGGCTTTTTTTACAGTTAACAAATTAGTGAAATATGGTTTTAGATACCTTAACTAAATTATAGGTAATTTAATTGCCTAAATGCCGCCAACATAGAATAACTATTTTTCCGATATGTCGTCTAGATTTTCATGGGTAGTAAAAAAAGTGAAAAAACACGTAATTTTGCAACTTATTTACTTATTTGTAATTTGTCAACTTAACGTCACTTCTTTCGAGTTACTTTTTTGATATTATCATACCCTTGTCCTCCATAAAATGCAATAAATAAATACCTACTAATATTTTTTAGTAAATATTCAGGTTTTGTGATATAATTCCACTGGAGGAAAGAGTAATTATTTAAGCCTTTTCCTGATCGGTACAATATATGTCTGTTTTGTGTTAATAACAGCAACAACAAACAATTTAAATTATAAAAAAAAACTCAATCTTGACAGAAACACGCGTAATAGACAAATACGTAGGTATTGCCTAATGGCTAATAAATGGTAATGGTAGTAGCATTTAGACCGCATGCGTGAATTCAGTTGTTCCCGCAGATGCTTCGCCCGATTTTTTTGCTATTGCTCGTAAAAAGCACTGAGTTTATTTGTAAACAGCATAATATGACTTAATAGTTGCGGGGATTAATTTACTGTTTTCAACTGATTTTTTATTCACACCAATACAATGGTAAGTTCAATTTTGTGTAAACAGACTTCATTAATTTATGAGTTCGTTTATTATTATTCTTATTATTCTTTATTATTATTATTAATATTGTTGTTATTTTTAGTGTTACTGCTATTATTATTATTCTAATCGTTTAAATATTTATTGTCATAAAAAATATATAATATATTTTGTTAAAAATAACGTATTTTTATTTACATCAAAGTTTCATTGTTTATTAATAGTTGACATCTAAATTAATTGAAAAGTATTAGCTATTTATGCGCCAAGCACAATTACGTTTATTATTTTTAATATTAGTTTTATAGTTAGAGAGATATATGATGAGTGAATTTAGATTTGGTCTACATAATTGTAATACACAATTATTATTATAAAGTGGTATAATATAAACAAAATTGTTTCTTTTTTAAGAAAATCATCTTTACCTTTTACGTTTATAGTGTATACATTATTAATAAATTTTATATTTTCATTTGCAATTTAGGTATATGTTTGATTCATTCCCGAAAACATTAGTTATTTTGTCTGAAAGATTTTGTATATAAAACACAGAATCAAAATGAAGATTGTTTACTGTTCCATCATTATTTCATTATTATCATGATTAAAATATGAAATATAAAAAATCGGGTCATTGCGCGCGTTTAAAAACCATGTTTGATGCGGCCTTCGGAATCACCCCGTATACTTCATACTATTTTAAAAATGTCCCCCTTAAGGCGCCTAAAAATTATTCTCTATCTGTATGGAATAGGAATAATATTATCACTATTGGCCCGCCCTGTATGAATATTTCTAGTAATGGAAAAAAAACTTTAAATATGCAGGTATTGAATGTTGCGAACAATAATTAAAAAAGTAAATAGTTTTTATATAATATTTTATTTAAAACAAATAATTCAATATTCTTATTTAACTAACTACGAAATGTTAACATATCATTAATAAAATAATATATTTTAAAATATCAAATGCAACTGTTATCGGATTAATTATTATTCACCCTATTGAATACAACAGTTTTTGGTGCCACGGTGTACATTTCCAAACAACACTCCCAGTCCGAAACATATCTAATTATTTGTGGTGGGGCGCGAGAGAACGAGAGCGACCCAACTAGTGGGGACTTTAAGATGCCCATCAGTGTACCAGGCACGGTCTCTACGCAGCAACTGGACTTTGAAATATTTGAAAAACTTGTTCGCATATTTATTTAGCCATACGTATATACAGATCTGGTCGAACTAAACGTGGAGGTGGTAGAAATGTATACGAAGATTTGAAGAATGCGCGCGCGGGCAAACGCCTCACAAACATAGCCGCACTGGGCGACTGAGCCATAAATTTCAGTTGTTGACAAATTGTCCTAAACTAACAACCTTTCCTCATCCTTTCCTGGCAAGGCAAGCAGTAATATATTTTAATGAAATTGTAAATGTTTTTTATATGACATAACCAACAATTTCCCATCAATATAATAAAATTGTTTGAGGACATACTTAAATCATTAAAATGTGTTGTTGGCCAAATGAACAGAATAGAAATTTTTTACACATTATACACCAAATTATTATTTTTTACCTTTAGCAGAAAACTTTTTTAGAGACGCCTATGAAACTCATTAAATTTTATTTGTTATTAACGAAAATTTCCTAAATCTTGGCGACACCAATACTGTTGATGTATTGACTTGTTTACGTTGAACAATGACAAACCATTACGTCTACGCTTAAGATAATGCGATCCCTGATAGGTAGAATAGTATCTCGTGAAAAATTACACCAATTACGGACAATAAAGCAGAATTTTACGTTTTAATGTGATCTTGATCTTATTGTTTTAATAATTTTTAATTTTACCGAGATTACCAACGTAAAGGCAATAAAATTTCGTGGCTTGTAATCATTTATGATGGCTCTGTACCTACTCCACTTAAGTTGTTACGTACGTTCAGCGAGTCTAAAATCACGAATCGGTGAATCACGAATTAATGAAAACGGAGCCCGGGAAAATGCACGGAAGCCATGTTGTGACGTCATATCACTCGTTAGCGACTGGTCTATATAGCATATGGGTCTTGGACTAGAAATATTCTATGGCACGGCAAAAGTCACATTCAAAGCCTTTTAAGGGTGTATAGATTTCATAATTCAAGTCTTCAATGAATTACTAGAATATCAACAGAATTAATTGTCTCTGTAATGCATACACAATCTCAATACATTTTACCTCAAAAATTAACCATAGCATTGAAGCATTGAAAAAATGGCGTTAAATTCGCTGGAAAAACATTAATTTTGCTGATGTTAACAGTTAGTGATGATACCATCGTTTTATAACATCTACTAAAATGGTTAAACGAAGATTACAATAGTAGCAACTAAATAATTTAGTTTTTGAGGAGTTGCTTTTATTTTACAGTTTTTGTTTCTACTAAACTTTATGCTTTGTGTACTAGAGTCTAGTAACTATATAAAGCTTTCGTGACTTCTACCTGAAATGACCCTATGTGCATTTATTTTAAGTAATATATTCCAAAATATCTAGATACGAGGTCTTTCGCACACAGTTGTGCTATTAACTTGAAAAATCGACGATANTATTGACAGATAATGTTCACCAAGTTTGATTTCTTTAGCTTGATGTACATGGAAGATAAAAAAGAAAAACAATTTTTTTTGTAATTTTAGGAGGGGCGTAACTTTTCAGGGAAGGGTTTTTTCAAAAAATTTTATACCAAAGACCCCTATTAATTTTCATCGGAGAATAGCCCCTTGAATTTTTTCGGTGTTATTTAGATACACCATGTATTTTAATGAAAATGTAAGAAAATGTAAAATGTACGGGATAAGTGATTTTATCTTTATCTCGTAGTTCAGTTTCTATTAACCCTACAAATTCTATATTTGCACCAGAAGTCTCTCTCTGCAGAAATAGTTTATGAAAAACCTTCTCTAATTCGATTTTTATTTCAAAGAAGTGAGTTTTCTTCCAAGCTATTTCATATTCAATCGCTATTGTACAGTGGCTTAACCAGAAAAAAAATGAGGGAAACCGAAATGTAGTAAGTTAAATATTTTTCAAAAATGGCCTATATAATAAAAAAATATGATTTTCGTGTTGAATATATTTTTCGGACGTTGGAGGGAAGTATATGGACTGTGTCTGCTTATGAAAGGGTACTAAAGACTTTACAAAAATGCGCGTTGCTCGATTGTACCATTTTCAATGTAAATAATAAAATATTAGTTCATATCTAAGTAATTATTGCTGTTTCAAAACAAAATAATTTTGAAACAAAAATAATAAGTTGTTCAACTAAATCACAATAAATAAAAATTCTATTTACAATGATTTTCCTCAACTGTGTTTTGCAACTTGAAAACTAAACCACGCGTATTTTCATTAGTTTTGTATTCCGAAAAAGCATTCCCGGACATATACTATTTTGTTAATTCGTGACCGAAATTAATGTTAGTAAAATTTGGCAAGCATTTGACTTGATTTGCATTCTGTGTATAATTTTATTTTCAACAATTCCGTCATGTATTCTTTAAAAAATTTTTGACAACTTTGGTAAGATTCGAAAATCATATGAATCTTACCATATAAAGTAAAATTGATGAATTCCTACAAACGTTGACGTTTGTATGGGCAGATTCAGTGGATATTGCTATCGACCCCCTTAGATCTCATTATTGTTGTTCATCAACTATATAAATACAACTGTCGTTGCATTTATTACCTTGTCTTTTTGTGGTACGTACTTTTAGATCTGAAAGCGCTGACTGCACTGTCATCTGCCCACGGACGACCTAAGCTGCTCCAAAAATGCAGATAATGAACAGTTAATCGGACTCTGATTATACCATGATGGTTTTATAACAATATCTATCCATATTATTAAACGAAGATTACCGTAGTAGCAACTAAATAATTTATTTTTTAAGATCTTTATTTCACTGTTTTTGTTTCTACTAAGCTTTAGTTTATGCTTTGTGTACTAGAGTCTAGTAACTAAACATTAAAGCTTTCGTGACTTCTACCTGAAATGACCCTATGTGCATTTATTTTAAGTAATATATTCCAAAATATCTAGATACGAGGTCTTTCGCACACAGTTGTGCTATTAACTTGAAAAATCGACGATAATTTTTTACAGGTTTGGCGTCGTGACACTTTTTTGCTTACTTAATAAAAAATGCTTCGAATTTATTAACAGTACCACTTAATAACAACGCTTTATTAAATAATTAATAAGTTTATAAAATACATACAAACATTAAAGAGTGTAATTTATCAATACCTATTCTAATCAGTCGAAATAATTAAGTTAGTAATATTTTCTCAGTTAGTTTTAAGTTTGTCAGTATTATTTTCGCAGTTGTTCTCATTGATTTTAGTGATTTTCTCCACGTTTTCGGACATAACGTTATACGCCTCTTCCATCAGCTTTGGGAGATCGTCGGCTGTGAGGCCTTCGGTTTGAATTGAAGGTAGAATTTTTATCCTTATATGACCTAAAAATTATTAAAGGATGAAAAGTACCATTATTTTAAAAATCAAAGGCAATGAAACAGTGTTTATAATTCAATCAATAAAAAAATTATGATTATAATTTGATTAACATAAAAAATCTGGTAGATATACACTGTGTTTCATTTTTCAGGGAGCCACCATTGTATCCCAATTATTTTACATTGAAAGGTTTTGATATTTTAGAAAATAAAATTATGCATATACAGTGTGTCCAAGATAAGGATGGGACATCATTAGGATCTACGAAACGGTAAGAGATACGGGGTGGCTCAAATTAAAAAAAAGTTGTGTTTTTTTATACCTAACAATATGCCGTTTAGAAAGTTTTAAAATTCCGGGTAGTTCCGGAGATATCCGGAAAAACCCGGAATTTTGCAAAATCGTTTTTTTCTGACTTTATTTGAAAACGGTTCGTCTTCGAGGGGCCATCATCAGGTTAATTTTTTTAAATACGTCGCTGCTATTTATGACAAAATCTAAACTCATTTTTAATTCTGAATTAGATGATATTACTATTGTAATCATTTAAAAAAGTTTTTAGCTTGTTTTAGCTATCAATTAAAATTTTTCCTGATTACGGCTCTGAACGCTTTCAAAATATCTGTTGGAGGAAGCCATAACAGTATAAAAGTCAATACAGCATAAAATATCCAACAATTTTTTTTAATCAATAATTTTAAAAAATAATACGAATTTATGAAATATTTTATTACTTCTAATTAGAATTGCTAATAGTAGCAAAGAAATGTTGGATATCTTGTGTGTTGGCTTTTATACTGTTATGACATCGTCCAATAGATATTTTGAAAGCGTTCAGAGCCGTACTCAGGAAAAATTTTAAATGATGCTAAAACAAGCTAAAATCCTTTTTAAGCGATTACAATAGTAATATCATCTAAAGTGTTATACTTGGAAAGGTCTTTTCATACTTTATCTCGTGGTGAATGCGTTACCTCAATATGGAAACCTATAGATGGCGTTATTTAAAAAAGAATGCCTTTTATGGACTTTTCTCAAAAATTTTAAATGCAATGCTACAGATTTCTTTATAAAAATAAATTCAGCACAAAAAATTATGAATATAGTATAAGTTTGAAATTTCCAACAAAAGTGTTGCGCTATTTATCCAAGTTTAGGTTGTTTCACTTTTATTTAAGAAAGTGAAATAGCAGGATAAAACTTTTTATACTTAGGTTAGTTTGAAGAATATAAAAATCGCTTCATTCAAATCATGAAAAGTCCTTTCCAACGAGGTATAACACTATGGGCTTTCGATGAGCTAATCCTCAAAAAAATGCAATTTTCTGATCAGACATTAGAAGCTTCCCCCACCCTTTCTGTCGAGAGGTAGAACAAAATGTTAATAACAAAAGTCATGCACAATGATTTCGGCTATCCATATTTGTACTATTTAATACACCTAAATAGGAAACATTTCTGAGAAAAATTTAACTCTATGTTTTGGTATGTAGATTGCCCCCACTTCTCTTGGTCAATTTATTATCAAAAAATTGTTCCCGAATCTCTAAGGCCTATACTTTCTCAAATATCGTACCTCGCCGACCTTACTGGGACACCCCCTGTATATAAAGGATTTTCCCATCTATAATTGTACAAGCCATTAGCATAACAAGTGAAACACAAATGAAACATAAATATACTTTTTAATAAACCCTAAAAAGTCACATATTTGAAACTACAACTTACACAAATCCTTCTCTGCTACAATGGATTTTTCGGGGCTAAATTTTGAAAAAATGTATTAGTGATTATTTAACTGAAATTTAATAATAGCACGTTGTTCTACATTTTAAAATTTATATGGAAGAATTAAAATGTAACAACTAAGGCTATATTTTCATTTTTGAATTAGTATTGAAAAAAAGGGAATTTTACAATTTTGATCATCGGCAACGTGGCAGCTGCCGAGATACTAGAACCGTGATGTACACGACAAGAAAAGTAAACTTAATATTTATTTTTTTTTCAAACTCAAATTTTTTACAGGCATTTAATTAAAAAATTAAAAATCAGAAATATTCTGAAAAATATTTACTTAAATTAAAACACACCATTGAGTATATACCGAGTGACTCGTAAAAATCGCTGCCAGCTTTAACTGTCATTTTTTATACGATTTTCAAAGACAAAAGATTAGCCTGAATAACTCCGAAAAGCCTTTCAAGCTTACCTTAATGGCAAGTTGTTAACTATTTTTTTTTTTTCAAATGGAATGGTATATATTTTTGTATTTAGCCTGTTGTAGAATTTTTCCTAAATCCGACGATATATGGCAATTTGATTTTCCGATACACACTGGATAATATGACTTTTTTATTAATTTCGTAATATTGAATTTAATGCAGAAACTGAAGGTAGAGTGCTGTCATGTTATGTGATATTTTTTTATCTAAAATAACACTTTTCTCTATGTTTATTTGACTGATTTTATGAAACATTTGACAGTTTTGATGGAATTAAAGTTAAGAAGCATTTTACATATTTTTGATAAGATATCTCGAAAATCTGACGTGGTGGAGCAATTCTGAGGTGGGATTCGAATTCAACCTGTAAAAAAAATTGGGAAAAGGACAGTCTGATAGATCTACGGAAGGGTGTATAACCGGCGGCATTAGGAATTTTTAGAAAACAAGGTGACTGTTGAGTGTTGACCAGTTTTGTACCTACCATTATCAAACCTTTGGTTTCCTAGAAACGAGTATCTGGCCACTACCACAGGTTGTATGGGGCACTGGGAAGCCATAGCCAAGTGAAAGGCCCCTTTCTTAAAAGGTAGAAGTTTCTTAGACATATTTCGAGTACCTTCCGGGAACATAAGTACGCGGGCCTAAAATAGGTAAATTGTTTGTTGCATTGATCAATCTTCATAAATAATTACGAGTTCTCCTTTAACTGAATATTCGGGTCGATTCTGTTCGTTTATTGACCAAGATCTTATTTTATAAACCATGTTAAAAATGTAAATTATAACAAGATGACTTATTGAAACCATATTCTGTTTACACCTTTATAATAAGTATTGCTAAAAGTTACAATGATAACAATATTGTTTAGAATACGTCATTTTTCAATTTGACAATATCGCATTTACCGGTGAATTCTTAGAGAAGAAGAAAATTATAACCTAAAATTTACAATTTGTTTGTATAATGTGCAGGTATGTTGATGTATTGTGGAAAATTTTCAGTTTTCTGCATCATATGTGTATTAGGAAATGTCAAATGCCGTCTGTCAGCTCGCAGCAGCACTTTCAAAAGTAGCAAAGTAGGTGCAATTTCAAAAAACCAAGGTGCAGCATATTCTGGTATACAGTGTAGGAAAGTACCGATGGTCTATCAGAAATTACGTGAGAGCGATAAAGTAAGCCATAGAAATCCATGTGATAGACAAGGATGGCTATAATGAAGGCGTCTAATAGTCAACGCCCATTTCGCTCTTCCACAAATAAGAAGTGGATCTTATTTGTGGAAGGGCGAAATGGGCGGT